TTCAACACAGTAAAGTTTTCTATTATTCAAAAGATGTTGACAATACAGTTGTGTATATTTAAAAAGCACATGTAAGCTCGGTTGCGCTTTCTCTATGGCTTTGTATATTAAACGATTAATGATCATTTAAATATTTTTTTTCAGTTCAGGTAACCTTCAAGGTAAGCGAACACGAGGGCAGGATAGAATATCCATATGACAACAGATTTGGACAACTAACGTTTAAAGTAAAGTATCCGTATTACGATTGGCTGAAAAACAATCAAATGACATGTAATCATGAAGATTGATTATTACTGCAGATTTCATTGTAATTTTTTATAAAAAGATGTCTACTACACTAACTTGCATTTATTCTTTAACACGGAGAAGTTAAACTGCTCTAAGAATTAGAAATCAATATTTGTAGCAGATGGCAATTTGAACTATTAAATTGTTTTTGTCAATTTTCTGAATATAAAAAAAAAAATCCAATTAATCAGCAAGATCATCTCGCACTTGGAGGCAGGCTTCAGCTGGTCCCTTAACAGTAATGTATACTAGTTCAGCGAAATGGACACCACACTAAACTCCGAAACATATCAGCTAACAAAGGCTAGAGGTTCCTGACTTGGGGGAGGTCCAAAATTGCGGCGGGATTAAACATGTTTTGTGAGACCTCAACCCCCCCCCTTATACCTCTAGCCAATGTGGAATAAACAAACACACAGCAATACGCACAGTAACACTCAGTTTATAAGAAGTCGGAGTCTGATGATATTAAAATATATAGCAATAACTGGCGTCCAAAATATGAACCGCCACACAGGAATTTCCTCAAGTTCCCGACAAAATACGGAAATTACGAGAACCGAGTACAAAAACAAATACAGGGTATATCAGGGTACACCCATATAGTTGACAATACGATCCACGATACACTATTATGTGTTCGTCTTGTAAACAACACATACACACTGTGGCATTTTCTTTAAATTGCATTAAAGTTTTGATTTCGGTTCATTCATTATTGTATGGAAACATTGTACCGGAAAGTCAAACCGACGCAGCACAGCTGATAGCGTTCGATTGTACTATATAGCGTTATAAAACTCCCTATTTTCTATCATGATGACAATGATTTAGTGTTTTATTGAATGTAACTCTAATCTATCCATTAAAAGTATGTTGATATATAAGCTTTTGCAAATTAGCAAAAGAAGACATTTAATATCTTCAATTAAAATATATCAAAATACCAGTTAAAAGTTTCGGTCATTAGAAAGAAAATTCGTGTGTTTATTTTCACTTCTCGTATCATATTTGCTATTATTTGATTATAACTGAACCAGTATATCACATCAGGAAATGCTTTGAAAATCTTTCAGCCTTTTATATAACATGTTTGTATGCGAATACCAGAGGATGATTCTTTGGTGTATAAGTACACGTTTGCACCATATTGAAAATACGACTTCAATGATTTTGGTATTAAAAATGATTTTTTGACGAATTGAATTTCAGCAGAATATCAAAATTCTAAAAATGACTTATTAATCAAGTAAACACATCATCTGTTGGTATAATAATAAACTGTTGCCAAATAATTGATCTTGATAGTACATTTTTTTTAATTTTATTGTTTAGGTGAAAGGGATACATTTTTAGTTTTCAATAAAAAGAAATTTATTGAAAATTGTGATTGTCAGTGAGTGTTGAATGATTTCTTATGAATACTAGTATTATTTTGATAAGTTTATTTGTTTTTCCAGTAACGCCTTTCATATTTTTCATGCAGGCGTCTTACAGAAGGTATTAAAAGATGTAAAGAAAGTTGCAGTATCCTTTAATTTCAAATTCCTCAATATGGACGATACCCTCTTGCTGAATAATTCAAAGTTTGAAAAACTAGAAAAAAGTAAAACAATAAAAATACCAAACTCAAAGGAAAATTCAAAACGGAAAGTCCCTTATCAAATGGCAAAACCAAAAGCTTAAACACGTCAAACGAATGGAAAACAACTGTCATATTCCTGACTTGGCACAAGCATAGTAATCATCTTTTCCTCGATTGTGACGCGACCAAATTTGTACTTTTAGTTACTACGAGGAAGATACGGATGCCACTATAGAGTACCAGGCTCTGTTATACATGATCCCCAGTCTTGTTCGTCTTTGCCACTAGAGTACCAGGCTCTGTTAAACATGATCCCCAGTCTTGTTCTTCTTTGCCACTAGAGTACCAGGCTCTGTTATACATGATCCCAAGTCTTGTTCGTCTTTGCCACTAGAGTACCAGGCTCTGTTATACATGATCCCAAGTCTTGTTCGTCTTTGCCACTAGAGTACCAGGTTCTGTTATACATGATCCCCAGTCTTGTTTCGTCTTTGCCACTAGAGTACCAGGCTCTGTTATACATGATCCCAAGTCTTGTTCGTCTTTGCCACTAGAGTACCAGGCTCTGTTATACATGATCACCAGTCTTGTTCGTCTTTGCCGATAGAGTACCAGGCTCTGTAATACATGATCCCAAGTCTTGTTCGTCTTTGCCACTAGAGTACCAGGCTCTGTTATACATGATCCCCAGTCTTGTTCGTCTTTGCCACTAGAGTACCAAGCTCTGTTATACATGATCCCCAGTCTTGTTCGTCTTTGCCACTAGAGTACCAGGCTCTGTTATACATGATTCCTAGTCTTGTTCGTCTTTGCCACTAGAGTACCAGGCTCTGTTATACATGATCCCCAGTCTTGTTCGTCTTTGCCACTAGAGTACCAGGCTCTGTTATATATGTTCCCCAGTCTTGTTCGTCTTTTCGTCGTCCTTCATATTTGTCACGGCGTTGTTTGTTATGTTTTGTAAATTTTTGTTTGTCTTTTTGGTGATGTTTTTTCTTCGTTTTTTTTGCCATGTTATTGTCAAAATGAAAATAAGATGATGTGGTATGATTGACAATAAAATAACTCTCCACCAAAGACCGAATAACAAAGAAATAACAACTTTAGGTCACCATACGGCTTTCAACAATGAGCAAAACCATAATTCAAACAAGAATAATAACGGCTCGATTTTTTTTATGTACAAAAAAATAAATGCATAACTATGATATACAGCAACAAACAACAACCACTGAATTACCGGCTCCAGACTTGCAACAGGCACATACAAAATGTGGAGGGGTTAAACAGGTTTGCAGGCGCCCAACTTATAACAGCACAATATAAGAACAAACAATAAAAATCAGATGAACAGAGCTTATCTAATCAGATTAATATAAATCAACTAACAAAAACACTAAAGACACAAAGTACACATCTGAGATTACTCGCAGTTACTGAAAGCTAGTCCAAAGCCAATAACAACTTTATAAAATAATGTAGCTAAGACTATATTATCAATTTATACACGTCCAACATCCAGTTCGTTTTCGACTTTGATTATTCCTTTGGTATCTTTAGTATCTCTTTCACACCTCTTGTTAAGTTTGTGTTGATCCCGTCTATTACATTCCACTACAATTAAAGTATACCACATATACAGGTAGGCTAGTTTCATATCTCAATTTGTATTAACAGTTCGAGAGTGGCTAAGGATCTATTTAGAACCAAACATTACGAAAAAGAACTAGCAACTTGATTTAATATTAATGTTTGCATTGTGAGCTTTTAATTTTGTGTGACATCATGCCATCAACACCTACATACAGTAAGTAGAGATAAGGTATGGATTTGATGTCAAAAATGTGTTAAGAAAATGTCATTCCAATCCTTTATCTTTTAAAATTCTTCACCATTTTTGTACAACGTATCTTTTTTTACAAAATAATAGAAAATTAATATATGTAATTTCATTGAACATCAAGAAATTGATAGAAAAGCGATAAAACACCACAAATACTTACACCAAGACCATTCATGGACAACATGAACTGGAGAAGTAAATTTTTTTTTTCAACATTCACAAAATTTCATATTCTGCTTGAATACTCAGTTTTTTATATTATCTTATTAAGTAGTTGTAATAACATTTAAGTAACTAAACATGAGTTAAATCATCTTATTAAGAAATCATAAGAGAAAAAAAAATGCTCTCGCCTTAATCTATCAAAACAAATCGATTTTCATGATATTTTATGACCAGAGAAAAGATAAAATGATTAGTTATTAACACAACACTGCATTCCTTTAATTATTCTCTATCACTGACGTGATCTCGAATGATTAAGGATGCAATGTATTCTATGCATTCACGAAATTTGCATTTATCTCTTAAAATTGTAAATGCATGCGTGATAAATAATGTCAAATGACAAAACGTTGACTACTGGGAAGGCCATATTACGTGGTATAACAGTCCAGCAACAGCAGTGGTGTCGTCTCAATTATAAAAAGTCAGAATAAAACATTCATAATTGAGCTATTCGATTTGCATTTATGAATAAGCCTCTTTCAAACTTTCTTGCCCAAAATTTAAACATACGTACAATGTATCTTGCGTATACGTTTATAAATTTACCAATTATCCAGAAACCAAGGTTTTAACTCCCTCAGGAAAAGTTTACCTTAGATAGATTTGACTATTATCTTTAGGTCCTTTCTTGTTATAAAGCTCATTAACTGTTTCGGTTCTAACACATTCTTGGCTATCAAATATTTGGCTTTGACTGTTCCTGGTGATGGTAAATCAACAAAAGCGCTTCGGACGCACGGAATTTATAACATGTTGTTTTAATTTCTTTGCAACCCTTGTTCGCGTTTTTTACTGTAGCCTTGTTTTATTGGATGGTATCTGATTCGATGGATAAAAGTATTTGATATCTACAATTTATCAAATAAATGTAACAGATCAGGTATTATATTCTAATGAATTATTAATTATCTTTTTCAATAAAAAAGTTGATAATAATTTGTCTTTAATAGGAAAGACTATATTATGTATTCATTTTCACTTTGAAGATCAATTTGTTACATTGTTAATTGTTACATTACAGTTAACCAAGTGCATTATGTTAATCATCTAAAGAATGGGCAAGGATTCATACCCATTGCTAAAACAGACTTTGGTAGAAATAGTGTGGTAAATGTTGAAAGTATTCGTAAAAATGATTTATATGAAAATACCTTTGATTTTATGTAGCATTCCAACAATGATATTTGGATTTAATATCATTGGAGGAAACTTTCATAAAAATAAGCATATGGACTCCCATGTTATAATTGCAAAAGATAAAATTGGACCAAAATTGTGTGTCAAAGATTGTACTTTGTACAAAGGTTGTAATGGTGTGAACTACATAAGAGACGGACTAACTTGTGAGTTGCTGTCTATCTCCTACCCAGATGATAAACTCGTATACGGGAATGGAATATATTTTACAAATATTACCGAGTGGACGCAGGTAACTATCAAATGTATTGTCACAGCTTATTACCTGAAAAATAATGTTATTGTTATTTAAATTCGTCAATTTTTGCTATAGTTATTATGAATTTCTTTAGAAATTATAAGTTATCATACTATGTACATGTAATAAGCAGTCGAAATATATTTTGAAATCCAACATTTCGGATTGAAATTAAAATTTAAATTCAAAATTTTGATAAGTGTGTTTATTTAAAACGGTTTGTATAATCAAAATATTCAATCATATATGTCTGTATCTATTTAGGAAACCGAAATTAAATTTAGAATCCATTTCTCCTCTAAGCAATAGATACTCTAACTATCACAAGAATATGTATTGCTCACTTAACAGTCATCAAGACCTTTAATAAAATACCAGCTTATTAGTATTAAAAAGAAGGGACGAAATAAAATAGCAGGTAACATGGAATAACTAACAAATGCTCTCTTACAACCTATAATCATCTGAAATTGGGTTTTTTTGCGATACAGCGATCTTAATATTACACTTCTTACTGTATTTCCCTATTTCTAGGGGGTTTTATTCATTTTTGCATCCTGCCACACGTCTATCCTTTTTCATTTAAATTCCAATAATTTAAAAAAATCTTCAAATAAACAAAAAATAGCAAAAAATTATGCCAAATAAAAGTAGTGATGGAATATTATAAATTCTTTTTATTTTTGTAGCACCTAATATCTCTCTCAGCTATGCTAATGTGTTTTTGTAGGGCTAAAGCTAAAAGTTTATGAAAAAAATATGTGCTTTATTTTTGTCATGCTGCAATATGGATTTTTTCGACATTTTGATATTCTTTTCAAATAAAAAAATTCATATCAAAATCTAAGATACCGAATCTTCGTCACGCGACAGCAACCAAACGATACAATTAATTGCAATGAATAACATAAGAAGAAGAACACGGGCTAGAATGTCTGCGACCTAAATTGGTAGTTGTGTAATACTACAATATTTCGTAATATTTGATTATACCTTAATTCAAATTTGCACTGATTAATACTTTAAAAACAAACCCATTAGATAGTGTGATCACATATTAGTTTCTCTAAATGCTAAAACGAAAAAAGATTAATTACTAAACCCGGATTAAAATATTTATACCTAGAAATACCTCGAAAAGTAAAAATTCTGAGTTACATGATGATTCGAAATTTAATGAATTAGAATGACAATATATTTCCATGAACAAGCTTTCTGTTGTTTAAAATTGTATTTCTTCGACAGGAGGTAAATCGTTGCTATCCAAACCCATGCCAAGAAAAAACATACTGTGTAGAAGCTTGCTACAACCAATATGTGTGTGTAACATTTGGTAAGATGTATGCAAACTATACATTCTAGTACTTTTGTAAACCAAATATTTATTGTTTTGTTATGACATAATAACTGTGGTGCATGCATAGCAGAATAAGCTCAATATTTCGACGCACTCGGTCTCGCTTATTTTGGTGTCCATGCGATTTCCTCAGTTTTGAACATCAACAGATTAACATTTGTCTCTAATTAGATCTTTAGATACCAAAATAGTTATTTGATCTGCACATTTATCGGTTGCGTCCTACTTTCTATTATGACATTTTACTGAGAGCAGATTCACATTTCGGGTGATACAAGCAAAACAGGAGATACTTACCTATCGACCCCTGGTCTCACTCTATTCGGAGTAAATGGAAAACCTGCAGGTTTTCGTTATCCTGATTTGTATCTTTTTTTTAATTTCACGCTACTTTGTAAAGATGAATGTCCTCTCTCTAAATAATACAAAACTTACTTAATCTGTTGATGCATTTATCAAATTTAACAATAAATCAAGGATACCACAGATTACAGGGCCTGCGTTTCCTATCATGATTTCTTCGATAGAGGGTAACTGTTAATAATAAAGCTATTGAACCACAGATTTTTTTTATTAAATTTGAATGTTTATGAGTGCGATTATTTCGTTATCAAAATCGTCCTTTCCACATTTTGGACATCACAGGATGCGACTTCTGACTCCATGGATGTTCACTTGCCATGAGTTACATTTGAATAAGGAAAAACTGTTTATGAAAATTAGATAACAAGGTGTGATTGCCAATGAGACAACTCTACACCAGAGACCAAATGAAGTAGAAGTTAGTAACTCACCGTACGGCCTTCAAGATTGAAAAAACCCAAACCGGACCGTAAGCTATAAAAGGCTCCGAAATGACTAATGTAAAACAATTTAAACGAGTAAACTAACGGCCTGATTTATGTACAAATCAATAAATAAAAAACGAATATGATATATAGCAACAAACGACAACCACTGAATTACAGGCTCCTGATTTGGGACAGGCACATACAGAATGTAGCGGGTTAAACATGTTAGATGGCCCCAAACCCTCCCCTAATCTGGGACAGTGGTGTAACAGTACAACAAAAGAACAAACTATACAAATCAGTTGAAAAGGGCTTAACTCATCAGATCGATACAAAACACAAAAAAGAAACAACTAACGAAATCACAAAAGACACAAAGTACAAATCTGAGAGTACACCCAGTTACTGATAGCAGGTTCAAAGCCAATAACAACTATTGAAACATCAGAGCAATGGAGCGCCCTCTTTTCCTCTGAGTTTTAATGGGTTTCGTGTTGCTCGTTCATTACCTTTCGGTGTAGTGTTTTGTTTACTGTTGTTTCGTTTTATTAAGTTCGTGTTTATCTGCTGTCACCCTTTTTATTCGACTTTTATTTAGTGTTTGATTGCCCTCTTATCATATTCCATTTTTCTGATCCCAAATGTGAAACGTCAACTTTTCTGCATATTTCAACTATCAATACAATTTTAATTCGGTTGTTTATTTCTAATATTGGTAATTTTTTATTTTTATGTTTAGATGTACCATGCGATTCTTACCCATGTATAAACTCTGGAACATGTCGTAATGGAGTGAATAGGTACACATGTATCTGTCCAAGTGGATACTATGGAACAACCTGTCAATGTAAGTACTCCCGAAACAACCTCATATATGACTGAATACTGCATAAAACGTGCTATAATAGATTGAACAGTTACTTCGTGTTTACATCGGGAGAGAGAGGGGAAAGGTTTCGAAAAACATTTAATTTAAGTATTTTAGGTACAACCCTGTATCCGAATTGTGGATCATTTCGTTTTGGATTGAAAAAAGCATCATGCTATTGTCAAGATGGATTCTACGTAACAAAATATCTGTCTAATATTAGTGTATTTGATTAGAGTGTGCAAACTTGTATTTATTGCAGATAATATTTTGTGGTCGAAAGACATTTTTTTGGTCTTATAACAATATCGATACAGCAATAATAAAATTGAGAATGGAAATGGGGAATGTGTCAAAGAGACAACAATCCGACCATAGAACAGACAACAGCAGAAGGTCACCAACAGGTCTTCAATGCAGCGAGAAATTCCCGCACCCGGAGGCGTCCCTCAGCTGGCCCCTAAACAATTATATATACTAGTTCAGTGATAATGAACGCCATACTAAACTCCAAATTGTACACAAGAAACTAAAATTAAAAATAATACAAGACTAACAAAGGCTAGAGGCTCCTGACTTGGGACAGGCGCAAAATTGCGGCGGGGTTAAACATGTTTATGAGATCTCAACCCTCCCCCTAATCCTCTAGCCAATGTAGAAAAGTAAACGCATAACAATACGCACATTAAAATTCAGTTCAAGAGAAGTCCGAGTCTGATGTCAGAAGATGTAACCAAAGAAAATAAACAAAATGACAATAATACATAAATAACAACAGACTACTAGCAGTTAACTGACATGCCAGCTCCAGACTTCAATTAAACTGATTGAAAGATTATGTCTTCATCATATGAATATCAGGCACAATCCTTCCCGTTAGGGGTTTAGTATCATACCATCATAACATATATGAGAAGAACATAACCCGTGTCATGCCAACAACTGGTTTTTTAATAAATGTGTTTAGTGCCGATGCAAAGACCCTATAAGTGAATCAATATTAACGCAAAATATGCAATCTTTAATGACCTGACAACAGTATCGTAACTATATCCCTTCTTAATAAGTCTATTTAAAGGTTTTGTTAGCTTCAGAGGTGAATAGTGACATTTTTGTGCTTTATAAAGAATATTTCCATAAAAAATTGGATGTGAAATACCTGAACGTATAAGAAGTCTGCATGTTGAGCTATATTTACGAATGATGTCCTTATACCGATGATAAAATTTAGTAAATGATTTGACTAGTTTGTGATATCGAAAACCCTGGTGTAATAATTTTTCAGTAATACATAAATTTCTCTCGTTAAAATCTAAAACATTGTTACATACACGAGCGAATCGTACAAGTTGAGATATATAAACACCGTAAGATGGTGACAAGGGAACGTCACCATCTAAAAATGGATAATTAACGATAGGAAATGAAAAATCATCTCTTTTATCATATATTTTAGTATTAAGCTTTCCATTCATGATATAGATATCAAGATCGAGGAAAGGGCAGTGGTCATTGTTAGTATTAGCTTTATTTAAAGTAAGTTCAACAGGATACATTTCTTTAGTATACATACTGAAGTCGTCATTATTGAGAGCCAAAATATCATCCAAATATCTAAAAGTATTATTAAACAACCATATTTGTCGTTTTTTTGTTTTAAACAACGAGGTCACAGAATGGCTATGAAGTTAACAACATTATCACTATTTCGCTTTTTGTTTCAATTGTTATCGGACGAAAAAAATACGTTTCAGCCCTGGGGTTTTCTTACCACCCTTCTGGTAATACATCTTATTTTAATACTGTAAGATGCCACAGAGTGAAATCTGAACACGTGTATATATATATGTATCTTTATTCAATATAATCCTTATTCAAAAGCATGTCATCTTCAATCGAAACTGATAGATCCCAAACGAGCTGAATGCCTATGAAGTGTTATGGAAAAAGATTTAGTATAAAGACTATTTGGTAATATAGTATAAGCTGAGTCAGAATTCTCTAATTCATAAATGTGTAAGCAAGGAAAAATGTAACTTTTAATATACCGAATTATTATATTGAACAATCTATCACCATGCGAACCAAAAGGTACACACTCTATCAGAATAGTAGATCATTTTTTAACTTAATGAATAGGTGTATTTTCTGTAGGTCATGTATGAAGCAAATTGTTCATATTAAAAGTGGTCGATGAGGAAAGCGAATAAATTATATTGCGGGATTGATTTATAATTTTTTATATATATTTATATATATATATATAAAATGTCTAAAAATAGCAACAATCAACATCCAATCCGTGGATCAGTTTGTGAAAATAAACTGATACAGTTACTGAATTAAAATTATATAAATGTCTAAGAATATAACTTAAACACGCTAATTAATGCATTAAAAAGATCTATTAGATTTTAAATAGAAATACGCAATATTTCGCTAAACAAATTAGATTCATCAGGCGTGTGCATCTCTCAAGGTGAAATTGGATGCATGACAAAAAAATATTTTTGTAGCTTGAACTACACAAAATTTGAGTAAAAGTTTAACAAAATTTATTGATGTTCTATAAAAAATATATGTTTGTAGCTTCAACTACATACATACAGTTGGAGTAAAAGTTTAACATATTTATTGATGTTCGATAAATTGTATGAATTTCTATAAATTGTATGAATTTCTATAAATTAATTTGTATGATTTCAAGATTATTGTTTTTAAATCTTTTTTCGTCTCTCTCATTGAGTCCATCAGGTTCAAGAGTTCGTAACTTGTGCATCCAAAATCTCTCTCTCTTTTGTTTTCCTTGTGTATCCCAATTTTGGTTTTTCTCAATGATTTGAAATGTGACGTTTTCAAAATCATGTCCTGCTCTTAAAAGATATCTTGTGATTGGGCAGTTTCTTTCTTTTGTATAAAATGACCGATGGTTATTTAGTCGGATGTTAAATGGTGTTTCTGTATCACCAACATATTGCAACTTGCATGTTCCACACGTTAGAACATAAATACAATTTTGCGTTTTGCAATTTGATGTTATGAATATGTTTTATTTTTCTTTGTGACTGTGCTGACGAATTGGGTTTCGATGTTGGCGACTTTGCAGCACTAACAATTGCCCCTTCCGTATAGTTTATAACCTTCTATTGTCGATACCTCCTGTTTAGATACTTTGGATGTTACTAGAATATCTTTGAGGTTTTTGGGTCTGCGGTAAGCCATGACGGGAGGTGATGGAAAAATCTCTTTTAAGGAAGGATCATTTTCAATAAGACGCCAGTGTTTGTAGACAATAAATGAAAGATTTGTCAGGTCAGGATGAAAGCTAACAACAAACGGCATTTTATTTGACTGGGCCGTCTTTTCTTTGTATTCAAGTAGGTTTGTTCGGTCTTTTTCTTTTGCTTTACCGAAAGCTTCTGAAATATTTTTGTTCTTATAACCTCTTGATTTAAGTTGCTGTCAGAGTTGTCCCAAACGGATGTTTAATTTTGATTCCGATGAACAAATCCGTTTTAACCTGATGGCTTGGCTGTACGGAATGCTCCGGGAACAGTGTTTAGGGTGACAACTCTTCGGAGAGAGAAATTGGTGTTTATCAGTTTTTTTGGTGTGAAGGTCGGTTGTCATGACTCCGTTTTCTAAAGTTATGGTGGTGTCGAGAAACGCAATTTTCTCATTTGAAACTTCAGATGTGAACTTTATAGACTAATGAAAGTTATTACAGAAATCGAGAAATTCTTGCAGACGTTCTGCAGTTTCGTTCCATTTGATGTCGATGTCATCAATATAACGGAGCCAAGACAAGGGTTTGTATGGTACATTCGAAAGGATGCGTTCTCCGAGACTCCCAATGAAAATGTTGGCAAAAGAAGGTGCCAATTTGGTTCCCATACTGGTACCGTCAATCTGCAAGTAGTGCTGGTCGTTGAATACAAAATTGTTGTATATATATATATATAAAGTGCCTAGAAAATCAACCTAACAATGTTAGAGTAGATTTGATTCTTTACTTCTTCCCCGGCCGGGGCTGGAACCTGTGCTTTTCACTTCTCATTTCTACGACAACACCACCTAGCATTGCGCAGACGCCTCATCCCCTCCTCTAAATAGCTGATATAAATCAGCTTTCGTTTCGGGAATTGTTACCTTCTCGTAGGTATTAAACAAGGACATGCATATAACGCAATACACGAATTATATTTAAGTGTACAGGAATGATCATCTACTTATCATTTCAGTATAATTACAGGATGCTATTCTATTTGTAGAAGCATACAATCACTATGAATTTATAATGAGATATGTCTGCCTACGTGTAGTGATAACTGTAAATTATACCTGGCTGAAGAGCACAATTAATGACCCTGCATTTCGTTGTATAGTTCCTTTTAATTAGAGTATATTTTTTCTTAATTTTTTTTCTTTCATTTCCTCCCTCATTTCGTAGCTTTTTTTGGTGGAAATGAAAGAAGAGAGGTAAAATAAACTTTTGGATGTTGTATTTTAACTGATTTTGATATGGAAAGAGTGATTAGGCCAGGTGTAAAAAGGTGATATTTACAGTTTTCGGAACATCTCTTGACTTGTCCATAGGGGTATGGATGTGTATTGGCTAAATTTGTAAGATACTGGAGAGCAATCTTTCTGAATGTTGGATATATGTTTGGACTAGTACTGTACTTTACACACACAAAATATTTGACAAAAAGATTCGGGGCATTTTTTTAATGAAACAAAACGTTATAAAGAACTAATAGAGGAATTTAATAGTGGTCTGTGGCCCCCTTGCCATCGGATATCTTATGATTATGAAATACCAGGCGTTAGAATATTTATAAAATGCCTAGAAAATCGACCTAACAATGTTAGAGTAGATTTGATTCTTTACTTCCTCCCCGGCCGGGGCTGGAACCTGTACTTTTCACTTCTCACTTCTACGACAACACCGCCTAGCATTGAGCAGACGCCTCATCCCC